CCGCTTCTTTAAGCCTCTGCAATGCAGGTATGAACAGGCCAGCACGCACAGCAGAGTGTACGCACATCCTACGCATCCACAAACACCACCTTCAAGAGCACTTGGAACATACCAGCCCTTCTTTTAACTACGTACCAAGTGCCACTTACCAGAACTGCGTAATGTAACCCCAGCTGACAGCTCAGTTTAGCAGAAATTGATGGCATTGCTGTAATGGAGTTATCAGTGACAGATACCGCCTATGCAGCTTCCAGGTCACACTCACTTAAGCAATGATAAACGAGCATGAAACACTGTTAGCACAAAACAAGATCATAAATACTCAATTCGTAGTTAAAAAAAAACACAAGAACTTCAGACAGCTGCAGCATCTTGCAGTCTCCATGGTTTTATGGATGTTCTCACTCTTGTCAAAAACGTACCACAAAATAGTAAAAGGAGACTTTCTGCAGATCTGAAAAAAAGAAAGGAAAAAAATCTCCCCAAAACCTCTGTCATGCATCCAGAGCAAACATTGCGTCACCCTACACTGACTAATACACAAATACATTGGTGAATCTTTCAGAATTTATAACAGCTTTTGATATCCCAAGGTCTGACATCCATCCATCCTTTTGTCACAGAAAGCTGCTTAGGCTGAGAGGATGCAGACTGTTTGGAATGTAAGCATCAAAAGTTGTGAAATCCATTTGTCTGGGATCCCTCTGTCTGAGTACTGACATAGGTGGGAAGCCAATGGCTTGCAACAGAAAGAAACAGAAAAAGTCCATGGGGAAGCAGCCCTTGCAAATGTGCTTTATCCCTAAGGAGTTACCTCCACAGGCTCTGATTGCTTTTAAGAATTAATAAAGTGTATTCCTCCAGGTGTTTGCTTCTTGCAGTTAGATCAGTGACAGCTTGGGACAGGAGAGACTGGCAGCTGCTTCCCCACTGCAGCAGCAGAGTGCGAGCACCTTCTCCTGTTTCCCCATCACCTGAGATTTACAAGGGTACAACAGGAAGGGCATCAGCCCTTCTCCACCCAGTCATCACGCCACCGGAAGTCTGTCATCTCCAGGTTATCCAATACTCAGGCAAACATGTCTTGCAGAGAACGGTATCCTTTTGGCCATTTACATGAGAACTAAATCCAAAGCCAGGAATGACACAAGTCGTGCTTGAGGACGAACGGAGACCCGGCGTGTGGCAGCCCGCATGCTGGCACCCAGAGAGCGCATTGCACTGGGTGCTCCTGCTCAGCCACGACCAAGCTGCTCGGTCCTGCTTCGGCGGCCGTGCTGCTGCACTACAGACTAAATCCTTCAGTGTTAATGCTGCAGACTTTGCTAAGCTCGGCTACCTCTAAAACCTTAGGAGCTATCAGAAATTATATTTTATCCTAAATTTCTGTAATGCTAAAAAAGGAGTTCCTTACTGGTTTAAAACAAGATTTTTAAAAAATGGTTGTAAATCTTTTCATTTAAGACAGGATGTCAGTCCCACTTTTACAAACCATGCAAACATTTATGCAACATGTTAACGATTTCTATTTTTTTCGGGTTTTGTTCACTTTTATTTAGTTACATGTCCTTTATGCAGTTCGAAGAACAATCAAAACGCTTGCTTAACAAAAAGTAAATTGGGAATTAACATAGAAATGCCTGCGAGTGGCCATACACACGTATGAAATCCCACACTCCTGCTAACATCCTTCCAATTTGCAATAGTTACTTCCTTTTTACATTGCTATGCAGACAGGAGAAACTGCTACAATATCATACCGTAAGAACAAATTGCTGAGCTATATTTTATGGGTTAAAATACTTGAGTTATTAAATCTGCTACTAGAACTATCTTTAGTATTGTGCCATGTACATTCAAGTGTCCTGGAATTTCTCTGTCCTGGAAAGTATATTATGAGACAAAGAACAGTATTGCTTCAGTCAGAATTTTTTAATTGTATTCCTACAAAATCATGTAAACATTCGCATACAGATCCAGAAAAAACAATATAATATAATGGTGCATAAACTGCAGGTTTAGAAGAATGTCAGGAACACTTCAACAGTTTATAAATTAATATATACAGTAATGGGTACTCATCATTAGATAAGAACACCTCAAAACCGAGGAATTTAGGTGCAAGAGCTGTAAAACAACAGAAGTGCTCCGACACCAACTGACTATTAGGCAACACTGCAATCTACATGACTGCCTGTTGTTGTTTCATATTAAGCATTCAATTTAACTGCTAAAAAATATAAACCAAACGTTTTGGTAGGAAGTTTATTTTTATTTTAAATCATATAGCAAACACCCCTAAAGTAATAAAAAACCCAAAACCCAGAATGCTCCATAAACAGGTTTCTAGAAGAGTGAAACTGAATCTTACTAGGCTGCACAAAGAGATCATCAGCATTCTCCATTCCACACTACCTCAAACAGAGCAGCACCAAAAGGCATCTCCAGCTAAAGAAAACATTTCAAATAGTTTATAAATGAAGACTGCTGAGTGGAGGCAAATAGAAAGAGGGATGCAAAATTCCTGCTTCCAACATGCAGCATTCTGGGCAGTTTAGCTCTTCATTGAAATAGAAAGTCATAGGAATGTAACACCATTGTTAATTTGTTAACTCTGGGCTATTTTGCTTAAAAAAAAAAAATAATCCCCAAACAACCAAGAAAAAAAATAATCTTCAGCCTGTCTGCAATCAAAGTCATATTCAAAGTGTTCTTACAACATTGCTCTTTATGAGATCATGGACATACAGTAAAATGCAGGATATATCACTCTTATGCATTAAACAGAAAATGAGTTATTTTCCTTTGCTCCTATCCATACAACCATATTTCACGGGGTGGGTGGGTGGGGGAGTATAGTAAACATATTCTAAAGAATGATCTCAAATAAAAGGCATTCTTCCCCATATTAGAAAATTCTCAGATATCACTGAAAATACAGACTGTGTAAAATAATTAGGATTATCCTGGAAACACTTGACACTGCAAAAACTCTCTTAACTGGATACCCTGTAATATAAACTCCCGAGAATCTTTCCAAAGTTAAATATATTTTTATGTTTCTAGAGTTGAAGTAGAATTTTATGCCATCTTATTTTGGTACATTTTTCTTACCTGACGAATCACTTCCCCTCACAATGAAAATTAATATTGCACTAATAAAGATGTATTTATTTACAATAAAGGGGAGGCCATATCTACCCACCTAGAGCTTTTGCTATATTTTCCAGTTGTTTAGGAACAAATTCTGTTCACCTTTTCTATAGGAAATCCTGAGTAGTAAGGTGAAGAAGGTTTGGCAGATAGCACCAATTTTCCATCACCTATCTTAATTAACAGGGTACATATATCATCGGCATTGCATCTAGCAGCACTATCATAGCTGAACCTAAATGCCCAAATAAAAACTTATTACAAGACACTGTTATTCCTATTGCCAGAATCCAAGCCGACACTGAAACACCAGGAGCTGGAGAGAAGATTTCTGCTGAGGACACAAGTTGCAAACACAGGAAAAGGCCCGAAATTCTATCCCAAATCTTTTTCTTATAATGGACAGGGCGGAGAAAACTACAGCTGGTGGGAAGAATACGAAGAAACCCTTAAGCTGCTGTGTCTGCCACCTTCTACGCAACACACTTCCAAGCTGCCCGCTTAGCATAAATCCAAAGATGTAGCACTCTGAAGGTGTTTATAAATGACCCAAACTCTTTGCTGTTGCTTCCTCCAGAGCAGCTCAAGCAGCGAGTGCTTTATTAGAAGCCAGACTGCCAACAGCATTTAATTACCATGTCGTGTTTTAGGCTTGGAGAGGTTTTATCCGATATTAGCCGAAAGGATTTGTTGATACTAGAGCCTTAGCTCACTACATTTTGTGCTGTGGTTTTTACCTGTATTGCTAGACTGGTAGTAGCAACCATGACAGACCAGAAAATCTAACACAGAAGAGGCTAAACTTAGCAATTTGGGCTTAAACTTAAACTAGGTTTAATCTACTAAGAGACAAACGTTTCATTGGATTGGCCCCGTACATAGACCTGGAAAAGTTTTATCACAGATACATCTGAAGTTTTGTGTAAACTATTAATGTACTACAGCAACACTAATTTGGTATTCACAGATGATAATAGCACAGTTTTCACACATCTTTTGCCCTCTCCTCGTTGTTGTCATTCCCATGCCTAAAGACACAGGCACAAACTCCTAATAAGACCTTATTATCCGTAGCCTGCAGACTTTCCTCCCACTGATATGTAAGCAATTTCCATTTCCTCACTTACATTGTTCCATGGGGTTCTTATACTCACATTTATGCATATTGTGATAAAGGAGAATGGATATGACAATATAAACACAACTAGTAGACCTTAATTCAAATTATATCGCCAACAACAGTGAAACCTGAGACACTTCAGATGCACTAACATGTCTAAGACCTTGTTCAATGTAACAGCACCAGCAAAATGGTTTTGAAGAGTTTCATGTGAAAATGTTTCCCTCTGCTTCCAACTTTGGTCACACTCTTCCTTTTCCCATCCTCCCATACTTTGTTTTTTCTCTACTTCTTCGTGCTTTTACGTCTGTTTTGATAAAGACAATGCAGTTTTGAAATGCATTATAGCTCCTTCAGTATCTTTCCATTTTTAACCATTTATTAAAAAAATAGATCAAACCCAGGACATTTTAAATTAAATGAATGAAAAAGTTGATAAGAACAATGAAGGTACCGTGGTAGTCTTAAGGAGGTAATCAAGTTACGACAATTTTCAGTAAGAATGATCATTACAACGCTTCTCTAAAATCACTCCAGGAGTTACATGGCTACCTGTACTCCAGCAGTAAGCTTACATGAGAAATCCAGGTAAGATCTCTGAAAAATGAAGACAAAGGAGTACACAGAAATCTGCTGCAGTCTTTCAGCAATCTCTTGACTGAAATACAAATATGTTCCAAAATATCCTGCTTACAAAGTGTAGCACAAACCAGATTTACCAAAGAAATCTTTTCTGTACATACATGAACAAGGTTTTCATGTATGAAAACATAAACCAAAAAAAAATCTTGTCTCTCAAAGGTGGTTTTTTTTTTCATTTGGATGCAGTCAATATATACTAAGCCAATTCATACATTATACTCAGCAATTCAAACAATATACCAGTGAGAGGAGATGAACAATATTCTGATCAAATACATTTATTTTAATCCTCAATGCATAACCCTTTTTCTTCATCATCATCATCAGAATCTGCATAGGACTCAATGGTGTTGTATATGAAAGAGTACAGCTTGACATCTGGTCCTGAAGTAGAACAGCTTCTGCATTCTTCATTGTAATATCTCAGTAACAGCCTATAAACGTCCCCTTAAAAATGAAAAGAAATAATTTTTTAAAATGTAAGATCATTCCATAAGAACGTATGACTTCAACTGAAGACTAGAAACACACACACACACTCAATGGTTAGGAACATCTCTTTAAATTAACAGTGGAAGAGGAGGTAGACAACTGTGTAAGGGGAACACAACTGTTTTCAAGTTTGTTCAGAACAGAGTGGGCTCCCCCAACTTTCAACTGAGCTTTCCGCACAAGCTATCCAAACGTTAGGCTTGCGTACATGCTACTTACAAACACACTGCCGATTGCCTAGCTTTGTGCTTCTGTCCCAGAAATTAAAGACTTTTAACAATTACAGTGGGGCAATGGATACAGTGCTTCTCTTGTATTGCTACTGGATAACACTTCTGACTGCTAACTCATCTTGCAGGATCAAGCCAGAACCACTGGAAGACAATTCTATATAAAAAAACACGTAAACAGATTTTCCTTTTTTAAAGCATTTTGAGTGATATCAAAAACTTCTGCAAACCTCCTGTCTACTGCATGTATCTGCATTTTCCAAATTCTGGAGTGTAACTCAAGTGAGTTACAAAAGGATTCTAGAAGTCTTCTAATAGTTTAACACTGTGCAGTTGACCCTGAATCAGAAGAGTTCCCTGCTCTGGAAACAGGTGCAAATAAACTGAGATGCATTTACTTGTGTTCAGGACTTGATGACAATAATTCTTATTGGACAATGTCCAATTGTATTGGACGGTTGTTTCTCTGCTGCACGAAAAGATTTCTTTATGCTCACCAATAGTTTGGCCCTTCTCACAGAGAAAAGTATGCATGCTGTAAATATCCCGCATCAGCTCCGCATCTCCAAAAGTAAAATAAACAACATCACGTCCAGCTTCAGCAGCTGCCAATATCTGTATTAAGGCTGAAACAACAAAAAAGATTACACACATGAATACAGGGTAAAACAATTTGCTGAAGTGAAAACACACAGCCTAAGTTGCTGATAATAATGATACCACCCATCTCCAGGTGAAAGCTGCAAAACAGTTTGAACAATGGGTAGATAAGCACTACTTCCACTTTTAAAACAACGTAAAGAACACTGGGCACTGCAGCTCAGAGTGTTGAGGTATTCTGGTAGAGTCACTAGTGACAACCATCCTTAATTTCCAGATAACCAATGTGCTTAAAAATAAAAGGTTTGGTTTTTATTTGTACATGTCCCTGCAAGCAGCGTGCAGCCATTAATTATCCAATAAACTTGCACAACAGCATAAGAAGACAGAGCACCCTCCTACATCCTCATTTAAGCTACTTGCATCAAGTCACAAACAGTGAGGTAAAATGCACCCATTAGCACATCACAGTTTCCATTCTTCCACCTGTCAGAAGGAAAGGAGCCAGCCCTTCCACTAGGTAAGCTACACAAAGCAGGAGCTGATCTCAACTTCTAGCTCTCAGGAGGAGACCTATGGTTCTGCAGCATCTTACTGTGCAGTTTAAGGTGTCCATTTTACCTATAATAGAAGCATGCAACATGAGATGATGGCTCATTCTGACCTATAAAAAGTAGGTGGTGATGCTAAGAGCCAGAGCTGATGCAAGGGAGGGCACCAGACCATACAGCCAAGAACAGGGAAGGGGAGAAGAGAAATCAGGACCCTTTTACGTAGCACCAGACTATAACAAAAGTGCAGCTTTTTCAGCAACCAGTACTGCGAGGCCGGAGCGTCACAGACGCAGGCAATCAATCACATCTTAATTTCAAGTAATGTTACAACAGTCCAAATAACGGACTCCCACCAACTATTTAATCTATTGCGGCTTGTATTATTTCAGAGCCTATGGATGCAGTTCCGATATTAATTCTTTCCTTTTCTACCTAGTAGAGTTAATTAAAATGTGATTAATATTGTATTTGTAAAGACTAATTTTAAATAAAATAGCATATTTACTGCATTACCACCTGCTAGTGGAAACTAAATAGAAAGCTGTTCACAGCTCAGCTCAAGAATCTTTCACATTTTTTAAATAGAGACCTAATAAAATACTGCATTCTTTAATCAAAAAAACTGCTTGTAAAACCATAGATAAAATTATAAATTACACGATTCACATGTGAAATTAATCTCAATCTGGGAATGATATTTTAATTAAACTACTGAACCAGCTGTGGATTTGGTAAAGCTTCAGTAGCTCAGCTTTTAAAGGGTCTAATTAACTAGCTTGCATAGGGGAACAGAACCTAATGAATCTTATTATTCATCCAAACAAACAATGCAGTTTCACTTCACAGAAGATATTAAAAATATCCTACTCTTTATTTTGAATTGCTATGAATCTTACGAAACAAGGGTCGACATTTCTGTCAAGAATCAGGCTTCACAATCGTCTGGGCATTAATGATGCTACCTGAAATTTCCACACTACTGATACAGAAAGGAGCATCACAGGAAGAGCAACAGGACCTGTGGTACATGGGACTGGAGGGATTTGGGCTGTCTTGCCCCTTGTACCCAGATGATGTAATTCTATTTAACTCTTATGGACTCACACTTGAAGGAACAGCTGTGCTGACATACCTTCTTCTACCACCAGCAAGGGTGGTAGAAGTATAATACAAATCCTTCTGGGGACCCAACTATCCTCACAGGCCCTAGATGCTCAGCCCCTTTTATCCAGAGGAAAGGATGTTATCACCAAGGACACTCCTACTGCAGCACTGGTGCAGCAGCACAGCCGAAGTCCAGAGACTGGTGCAAGGCAAACGGCACCAGAGACACAGCAGGGGCGAGCAGGACAAAACTCCACTGCCGCGGGTGCAGCAATGCTATGCTGGGTTAAACACCCAACACTCCCTGTGGTGTTGCCTGTTGTGTAAGTTCAGAACTGAGTACTCTCATGGTAGCACCTTGATATCGCACACATTTACATGAGGCAAGATGCATGCTTTTCTCTCTTTCCACTAATCCTACAAGGGTCTTTTTAAAGCTGATGGCAGTCTTCCTATTGACCTTTATTTTCTCAGGTAAATAAGAACACCAATTCAGCTAAAGAGTACTTTCTCACAATCATTAGAAGTTAAATTCATGTATTCGTGAGATGCCTCATCAAATCCTTTGCATTTTCAATAAAACAACACTTTTCCAATCTTTAGACGTCATCTGTAACCTTGAGTGAAACCATATTTTATACACAATCATATTCCTTTAATTCATGACTAAAAAAAATCATGATAAAATATCATAATGTATTATGGCACTTATCCAGTTATATCCAATTACATCAAATGCTTCGGTGGTTCTGAAGTCTCTGTTACAGATCCAGATAGTACTTCTGAAAGGGCAAGGATGTATATTTAAGAACGTTAAATGAAAAAGAAAGATTTTAAACTATGAAAACTATTTTGTCATTGCAATACACTGTCAAGCCTGTGTAGCCAAAAGCTATTTATCTGGGTTCAGTGAAACTGACACCAATAATCTCAGAGTTTTCTAAAACACTCTGAAACGAAGAACTTATGACTCCCTATGAAGTGTAAAAGATTATTCTCCAGTGTTAAGAAGTTTGCTTATAATGAAGGGAAACCATTAAGAGAATTTCCAGTTCAGAATAACCCTATAGAGTATTTTAGGACCAAAGGGAGAAATGCTTTGGCACTTATGACTGTGCAGGGAGTATCTGTGAACTGGAACAGACTTCATTTGGTAATCACACATCAAACGCAACTCTATTCTGACAAAACCACACATGACAAACTACTGTACTCTTTTTGTAGTTCAGTTTACGAAAAAAGAACGAAGCCATCTTGTTTCTAGTCAGCATCAGCTCAGAGAAAAAGGTCATATAATAAATGACTAGCTCCATATCCCATAGCATACCACCATCATTTAATTCTCTTTATTAAGTATGAGTTTTTCATAGTCAACTAAGAAATCAAGATGAGTTTACAAAAAGAGTAACTTAATTGCAAGTTAAACCAAAGTCTGTCTTTGCAAGGTCTGCCAAAGGAACAGAAGACTTGAGAGTACACACATAGATTTAGATAAATTTTTCATAACAGCAGCAGTGCTGTAGCTTACTGTTAAGTGTTAATTCTTGCAGACTTTGGGAAAAAACAATAAGGTTGATTCAAAACCAGAGGAAAAGTTACATAAATGAAGGCTCAAACTAAAATCTTAAGTTAAAATAAAACTGAGAGAATGCACAACTCTTTACGTGCTGTTGTTCTGCTCGGAGTTCATATCCAAGTTACGAAGCACCACATTTCATGGCTCATTTCTTTGTCTACAGCAAGGACGTTTCTTATGGACTACCTCACCAAATGGACTTGGCTCTGATGATCTTTGTCAGGAGGATTCAGTTTTGAGCTCTGACCGATGGGGAGAGGAAGTACAGCACTGCAGTGTGCAATCTCTATTCTAAAAGTCACATCTAGTGTTGAACAAAATGGCTTAGATCAGATAAGCAATATTTTTATCAGAAACTCATACATTAAAAAAAATCCAAGAGGAAGCCTTATGCAAATAAAAGCCTTTATTAAACCTTCCTAACAATCATCAAGTGTGATCAGATCCTGCAGTAAATAATACTTCTGATATTTATGATCTGCACTTGGCAGCCCATTTCTAATGGAAATTAAAAAACAACTGTCAGGAAATCGATGAGCATTGAGAAAAAAAGAGATGCTCAATGAATAAAACACATTAAGAAAGAAAACTAATGAAGCTGGCAGCCTGATGATTGTTTGTCTCGATGTAACTAAAGCTGTTCAGAAAAGCATATTAAATACTCTCCAAATGTTTTAAAACAACAAAATGTAAATTTCTACTTAGAACTATACGAATCAGGATATCAATTTAAATGTCAGGACCCATCAGTTCATGACTTGACAGGAAAAAGTCTTACATGAAGGTGGGCATGTGATATCTGCTGCATTATACATACTCTCATTAAAAATAAAAGAACATGAGAAAGTGAGTGACATAGCAGGCAAGTCAGGAAAGAAAGAAGCATGTCTGACTGACTGGAGAAAACTGGCATACAGCAACATATTAAGGAGCAAAACTAAACATTAAGCATTGCCAGCAAGTTTGTGAAGCCTTGCAAATTACCAGGTACCTTAAACAGCTTTCCTGAGATAAAAGTTTTAGGTATAATCTAAAACAACTGCTCCAGAAAGATCAACTGATTTATATGACTGAGGACTGCAATGAACATGTTATTTTGTGAACTAATATTGCGCGTCCGCGCTTTTGAAGATTTCAGTGCTACTGGTCCTTATAAACCCAGCATTTCACCATCACGTACTTACCTCAAACTTTAAACTGAAAATAGCATATAAAAGAAATGTGCATTTTTAGTGTGTTAAGGCCACGTTATTCATGGCCTAAAGATCAAAGCTAATGAACCAGTTCTATGGACAGTTTAAGTATTATTCTAATCCTTGGTTAAAAAGTATGAATTCAAACAAAACAAAAATGTACTTGAACAACAACAAAAAATTAAGGCCAAGAATCAAAGTCTAAGTTATTTGATTCATTTGGACCTAATGAATTGCTACAATTTACCTTTTAATCGGGAGTCCCCTCCAAAGGCACCACATCCCCAGTTTCCTGTGGCTATTGCAGAGAGATGTTGAGGTGGAACATTGGGTCGAGAGAAGCCACAGTAGGCCTGCAGGCAGACAAGAGTCAGAAGATGAAGCTGACAGGCAATCTGATGTGATATTTTTGGACAATAAGATAATACTAATTAGTATTATCTTCTAGCAATACCAAATCCAAACTACTCCAATACACCATCAGTCTTCCATTAAATTTAATGGTCAATCACTAAACAATTTAAGGTGAGAAGAATTTTGCCTTATTTGGATCCAAGTTAAAAATTAGATACAGGTGCTGACTCCTAGGGATTTCACTGTAGCTATGGGAAACTTTTCAGGATAGCTAGAACAGAGAATAACTTGAACAGTAGATTGCATCATGTTTGCTGCTTTTCGGCCGTTTTAGCACATATGACAGCTGAACTGCTGTATCCAGTATTACTGAAATTCCTCAAAACTGGAAACAAAATACAAAATAGCATCTTAAGAGCACAGGTTTAATGCAAAAAATAAGGGTAGGAGGAAAAAGTGTGATATTCTCTAAGAAATCTTGAGTAAAGGCAGGTGCTTCCATGTAGAGGAAAAAGGATAAATCTCTTATTTATTGAATTGGTACAATCACCTGGTACCGATTGAAGTACCCACTGTTTCACTCCAATCTGATCTAAGCTGCAAATTCAGACTTCCATTAGTTATAATTTAGCAGGGTACCATGATACAGTTTGCATAAGGAAAGCTTACACATCATCAGGTGCATGCAGCTTCTTGAGCTCTCTCAAGTCAGAGCTATGAGTGTGCTTAATGTCCAAAGCAGGTTTGTATGAAACTAGTGGGCCAAGCAAGCTAGTATTCTGGCTATGTGGCTAATAATTCTTCAGATTCCATCCTCCCAGTGAGGGAAATGGATTGGTGTTGCAACAGCACGCCATTTTCTTTCAGCTTTTACTTAATGGGCATGTATTTCTCAACTCGCCAAGACATGGAGAACAAAAACTGTCTTGTCAGACACAATAAGAAAGTCAGCAAATATGTAGAAGGACTTCAGAGGTCATGAAGAAAAACATCTAAGTGGTCCTCTGTCATTATCCAGCAAAAAAAGGATAAAGATAAAACTAATCATTTTTTTTTTAAAAAAAGAGACGATGGACCAATATTTTAAGTAGGTTTCATCTAGGAACACAGGAACATGAAAGCTTTCTGTGAAGTTTTAAAACAGTTGCTCCATATGGGAAGCAGAGGAGCTGTTCCTTTTTAACTGAATAAGTGAATCTGGTTTTAAGTGCGTGCAACTTCAAATATACAGTATCTCATATTATTTAGAAATTGTGTGATATTTACAATTGGTTTGTTTTCATATAAAACTGTTATATATAGTTCTCATAGTTAATGCCATTTGAAACGTAACTGTTCTGTGTACCATAATTCTTAGGGAAGCATTTCTTGCCAAAGATGAAGCTGTAGCTTTTTTTAATCAGTGACTTTCAAAATAGGTTTAAATGACATTTATGAGTGGGATTGCAAGCCCAACTGTAAGTCAGTTGTTTCTTAGGATTTGGAAAGCGGAACTTGCAACTAGAAAAATTACTGCTAGTGAGCGTCTTTATTAGGCAATAATCTCAAGGGGCTAGCAAGGATGAAACAGTGACAGCTCTTACAAATATATCTACAAAACTTAATGCTGAAATCAGATAAAATGATTTTCTTTTTATTATTCTAAACAGTTGACTTTAGACAATATTAATCTTGCTTTCTGAGTATGGGTTAAACCAGAAACAAGGGTCAACCTCAGACAGCTACCTTTTGAGAAAACTACCCGAGAGTGACCATCTGGTTCTTTAAGACAAAAGGATCTTATAGAGGAGAAATCATATAGGCTTATAAGAAAATGAAAGTTGTAAGAAGAATCACTTTAAGTTGTTTCAAACATTTCCTAATGTTTAACAAAACAGCAAACAAAAGAACCTCTGAAAACAAGTGGACACTGAGTTGCATCTCCTAATACGTAATACACTTGTATTTCAAAGCCTGTGTGCATACACGGTGCTTACTGAGTCCTGATTTAGTAAACTGTAATAGAAATAGAGTTGCAGCTTATTCCATCAACTTGTTTTCACCCACAGGAAAATCTTAAGGCTAATACTAGTTTTAAATCAAACTGAAAAAACCCACCACAGTACATTCAAAAATATTTGATTTGTTAAAATATTATAGAACCTACAATAAACTTAATGAAATTTTTACTGTAGTAAACAGAATTAACTCAGGCTTAAAATTTTCTTTAAATACCAGACAGTCCTCATCAAACAACATGAGCCAAACTGACACACTGTATAAAAGTGGCATGAATCTACCGTAATTTATTTTAAAAATCCAAACCCAATCAATAATATTGAAAACTGTAGGCAGATCATAAATTCACTAGAGTAGGTAATTTGGATTTTGAACTAAGATATCACTGAAGTTTACAAAATTCATTTACTGTCTTTTTCAGGGCTAATTTCATTACCAACCATGAAGAAACAAGTTGATGAATGTTACTTTAGTCAAGAAGCTAAGGTCTTATGACTAAATCAAATTAGTACTTCAGCACTGTACATCATTTCTGGGAGGGGAAAGAAAAAAAAATAAATTGGCTTTCAGGTATACTTCTTTTCCCTTTCCAGCTGAGAATTAGGAACACACTGCCCTATGTTTGAATTTATTTAAAACGCATCCTATATTATTCCATACCCTCCTATACTAGAGAAAGCAGGAGACTAACAACAGTAGTATTGTGCCCTTATATCTAACACTCTAGCCAAAGCAGAGGCCCACTGCATCTATAAACACAGAAGTGCACTAAGCAGACTTCATCACTAGTATGTTTTGAACCCAAATATAAGCACACCGATACAGTATAACTGTATAAGCATTCTCGTACTCAACTGCCCAGTAAAAATAGCATTGTCATAGCTGTAACAGGCCACAGACCTTTCACTACCTATGCCTTATACTAACCATGCAAGGCCCTCATTCTGGTCCATTAGCTGCCTTATTAACTTAAAAGAATTTGCTATGTGAACTGGAGATTGATACCAGACATCTCTTGTTAGGAGATAAAATTTATGCGTGGAATAATAGCAAAGGCCTTGAAAACATTGGCACACATTGAAAGCTAAAGCCTCCGAACTATAAACAGCTCACTGATGGCAATTACTAGTCATTGAAAAAGTACAACCTCAAGAGCTGGGAAAGGCTGCTTTAGCTTCAAGAAAACAAACAGCAGCAAAGCAAGAAGAATAACAAACACCACGAAAATCTCAGCCACGCAACATGATAAAGCACCTGCCATGGCTTGGAAAAGTAGCCCCATGTTCCCAAACACTATGCAGCACATAGCCCAGGCCAGAGACCAAGGGCTAGGAACCATCTAGAACCCCAAATATCTTATTTAAGGACAAGATCCCACATTACGGAGGGTAGAGGAGACAAAAAAGATGCCCACCACAGTTCCATCTTCCCTTGCCAAAGAGCTCTTCAGCCTGGCAACCTCGATGACTAAGGCTACCAAGGACCACAGCCATTGGAGCTAACTATGCAGTTTTGTATACACACAGCTAGCACAAGGTTAAGGTCAGGGACTGACTGCTTTGAATACATACTGATAATGAATAATCATGGGCAAGAACTATTAGTAGGAAGTGTGCTGTTTCTGAATGTCAATCTAAAAGTTTTGTTTAAAGGACTAAACCCAGCCTGATTCATCAGTCTTCTGAACACCTCCATCACTGTAAGCTCTAACTGGCATGTATATACACATATTCAGTTGCAACAGCCCTTGCACTATTGTGCAAATAAAGACAGGAGATTTGTGAACAGCTGGATCTGATCTCAAGAAGACATCAATATACGAAAAGTTAAACTCCCAGGTAATATGGCAATACCCCAAGAGCAAACAAGAACGGTGGAAGAAAAGCAAGTGGCACTGTATTTATGAACTGTCACCGTCTTAAAACATGAGGCACTCCTTTCTCCACCTTGCCTGGAGGGCTGAGTACGATTCAGCAGAGCCAATCATGGGAAGAGAACTTAAAATCATAATTTAGAAGCAGGACAAGGAAGATTTAACAAAATGTATATCCAAATTTTTTATATTTTTGGAAGTTAAATAAAATACACCTTTGAATAGTGTATCAAAGGATAAGAGTCATTCTATTTGACAAGTTCTCTTTTAACACTGGACAGCAAAACCCTGGAATACACCTTTTATAAGAAACACAACTAAGCAAAATCTTCTTTGGTTGAAGATAATAATACAAAAATATTTGAAAAGATACTATAAACATTAATGAAACAGCCTTAGATTGCAGGCCATTATAAGAAGTTACTGGCCTTGTTGAGCTCTCTCCTAATTTTCTCCGGACTAAACTGATCAAGGAAACGTCGGAAGTGAAACGCATCTATAGCAACAATTTCAGTGTAGCGTCGCTGCCATTCATCCCTAAAATTGGAGGGAGGAGAAAAGTAGATGACATTAGTTGTTTAATATTTACCATATAATCATGATCCAAAACGAGCAATTCCCTGCAGAGCTTCTCTGTTAGAAGCTACTAGAAAGGCGAGCTCATAACAGACAATTGAGCATTTCTTTTTCCTTTGCAGGTTGGGAATGAAAGCAGCATCAGAAATGAGACAGGTCTCCCTATAAATTTAGAAATGCTCTGGGTAGACTTTAGGCATGAACTGAAACAAATCCAATTACACAGCACTATTTATTAAGTATCTATGAACATCACAAGGTCAAAGAAAAGCACTTTGGCTCTCTGTCTTCCGCCAACATTTAAATGAGAGTACATTGTGTATGTTTTATACCAAATGAATAATTTTGTGTATATGCTATCATAACGTTGTTGGAGAAATAAATTCAAGAGCTCAGAGCTTTCTACTCAGATTCATGATATTAAATCTTATTTTGCCACACATCAGCTGCACTGTGGCACCTGAGGTATCATTGTCAAACTTCGTGTGACTCAATCTGCCATTCAGCCAGTATCTTAACAAAAATTTGGATTAAATACATATAGCTGTGAAAGATGTGGTTTAAGAACTGACATATTGGCAGGTACCATTTATTAGCATTAATATCTCATTATTAATATAAGATAACTTTCTTAGCTTGTTGGCTCTACTGAAGAGAGCAGGATCAAACAGTCAAACTCTGTATTAAGACAAACGCTAGGAAATTCTTAAAGCACCAAGTTTTCAAATTTATAGCATTTATGTATTCCTTCACTTGAAATCTTTTTTGGAACTTTACCTTGGTGTCTTATCTTCGTGGCTTCTTGCCCACCGGTAAGTTTCTGCATAGCCTGTATATTCACTGTACTGCTCAGTACCTGAAACAAATGGTTTTCCATATTACATATAAAATATGTACATACTTTTTCACTCGGCAAATTTTTCATAGGAATCACTGCTTCTCCAAATGAACACGTAGCTCCCAGAAGCAATGGAAAATAGAGATTCATATCTGCACCAAGAATACAAGATCTTCTTGTAACCAGCAGAAGCTTATTCTCCGCAGATGATGTGTAGTATTGTCGTGGTTTTAGGCTGATCCAGCACCTATGTATGCTGTCCAGTATATAATAAGATAGTTTTCAACTTTGCCACTCCAAAGTTCAATAGCTTCTCAACAAACTGCCTGTCATCTTTAAAGTTTTACTGGCCGATATCTGGTTAACAAAGACTGCGAGCCTTTGCACTACCAGTATTTTGCTTTTCTTTTTTCTTTTTTGAGGCTACTACTGGTAAGCATGATGATAAAAGAGTCACTCCACTATTGAAAATGTGTCAACCCTACTTCAGCACAATTTAGCAGACATCTGGGCTGACAGTTTGGAAAATATGAGAAGAAAAATGTAAAGAAACTAAAAAAATCTATGTTGAGAGCTGTGTGTTCATACATTTTATTTCTCTAACAAAATTAAAAGCCATAAAGCCAAAGAAAACTCTGATGGTCAGAAACCAAGCAGATTTCCAACACATTAGTGTTATCCAGTTTGCTGCCCTACAGTCTCTTGAGGGCAGCCTTACATAAGGACAAGTAGGACTATTAAGCTTACTAGTCTCATTGCCCAATAAGTCACCTCTTTCCCATTGTTTTGCATTTGTTCAGCATGATTGCTGCACTATAATTCCTGACCTGAATTCCCAGATATCACAGCAATTAATGGCACTGAATGGACTGAAAGACCACAGCTCTCAGCTGCGCAGTCAGTACCAAGAAGCTACTTCTGTAAAAGCTTGAGGATACACAAAACCATGGTATGGAACATACTTGGCTGCTCTGTGAAAAAGGCCAGCAGGGTACCTCAGCAAGCATTAAGGGCTGTAAGAAAGTAGCTCATTAAGACCTCCAGTAATTTTAGCTATTATGCTCTGCTATGCAAACTCCTTTTCAAAGGTTTATCCCAAGACCAAGGAGGAGAGCATTTTAACTGAAAGTAAGGATCATAACCTTTCTAGAAGATTGCCTTTCACCTCATTTTACCAAACTTCAAGGCCTTGCTTCAAAACCTAGGGATACACAAACGCTTCAGAGAAATACTCCTAAAGTAATGCCACATCAAAATAATAGCTTTCTCCCCTGTTTTGAGCTTGTAACAGCTGAATTTCAAAGGTAGAGGACTGAAAAGAACACCTTGTTTGCAAAATGTCAGCTCACACGGGAACAGTTTGGCAGAAGTTATAAACAATAAGAGAACTCTTAAGCAACCTCTTAATTAAAAACAGTGACACCAGCTATGCCTATAAATGCAACAGAAAAATAAGTTTTAGAAAGATATGTAAGCTGACAGCACAAAACATCTGATTACTAAGACAAGAGTAACACCTAACTACTGCACGGGTCAGTGATACTCTGAGAATACAAACGTTTAATCTCAAGGTTTGGTTTTTCAATCTCTAAATAAAAATAAAATAAAAGTTGAACAATTAGAAACATAAAACTATTCACTTTTAACCTCATCTGACAAGGGAATTGGAATGCTTGCTTTCAGCATTCTCAAGTGTAGGAAACACAAGTTCTTAAAAGCTATTTAAAATTATGCATATACTTTAAGATATTTTCCCCATTTACTCAAATTCATTTAAACTGAAAAGACCTATCAGCACTTCTTTAACTCATCTGCCCTATTATTCACTCATTATTTATTTAGATTTGTCAAGATGATTAATCATACTGAGGGCACACAAACTCCACGCAGGGCTATTTTGAAAAGTTTCTAGGCAAAATGAGTAGGATGGTAAAAGACTCCTCACTAAGAATCCACTTCCTGTTATAAAAAACAAAGTTCTCAAAATTGTGATGGCAGAATATGCCTATATATTCACACACATCCATGCCCTTGTATGAAGGACTACTGTGAGCAGCTTAAACATTCAGAAGTCAGCCTTCTAATCAGATTGTAGGCTAACAACCTTCAGTATGACTTTTCTTAACATAGGTACAATTCAGTTTTAGTGATATGCTTGGAAAAAGTGTCTGAGCAAATAATAAGAAAAAACAGGCGAGGGAACCGTGTGACTTTTCTGAGAGCTCTCTTTAGGGGAAAACCTAGCAAAACTTCCAACTTTGAAAAAGCAGCATTTCCTTTGATGTCTAGCATGTGGAAAGAAAAGACTAGGTTATCAAGATATTGTAACAGGATCGATTAAATGACAGTCAAAGTATTAAGCTGAATTTTTCAATGTTCATTGTTTTCATTAACTTTTATGGAAGTGCAGTGTCTGATGACGAAAGCACCAGGAAACAAACAAGCAAGCAAATACACACACATATATTAAAAAAAAAAAAATCAATAACAGAAAAACCTCAAAGAAATCACACAAACTCTACACTCATGTTCCAGAAACCCAGTGTTAATGAAAATCAATGGGTTTTCATAAGTGAAGCTCTGGAAATTTGTCAGAGAACAAGTTTTTCAATTGGCAGCACTTTTGTCTGTGAACTACTGAGGTACAAACTGCTGTTGCTGGGAGAACAGAAGGAGGACAGGATAAATTGGATATGATAATGTTTCTGGTGAATCTTTTTTCTTCCTATTAAAAAAAATAAATAAAGGGGTAAAAAAGCCAAGCCACAAATACAGTATAATAGCACAGTTCCATCAGAACTTTAAAAACAAGCTACGAGAACTGCAAAAGCCTATCTAAAGTCAAAAGAAAGTATATACAAGTATTATTCAAAAATACAGTCTTTGTAAAACTTGTAATAGTTACAGCGTCAAACAGTGAAATTGCCAAGTTTAGTGCTTATGGGACCTCATCCATCGAGAAAGAGTTGCAATAATTACTAAAAATAAATACACCTTCCTCAGACTCCATAGTCTAGCTTTCCATTTGCATACGATCGGTATGGCATTATAGAGTTCCTAGGGACTGGGGAAAAACCTCACCACACTGTCCTTCTAGTATTTCTGATGAGCTAGAAATAATACCTCTGAAGAGGCAGTACCACTAGCACTGAATAAAAAGGAGTACGTGTGAAAAGTACAAAAGCATAGTTTCACAGCCACCAATATAAACACACTTTTACTGCCAGAAGTGAGGGGAAGATCCGTCTCTCCCTTTCAATCAGTTCTTCTGATCCTTATCTTGTGCCACCATTAGTCTCAAGTCTCATTGGCTCTCCAGGCAACTGCACGATCAGCCCGCTAAACCCAGCTCAAAACCAATTTTTTCCCCTCTGAGTAAATTTTCAGCTGAACCAATTATCTGATCTCATTTGCTGCACGGGTAATGTGCTTAGAAGTCCCTGGAAACGCATCGCTAAGATATGGTCAGGACTGGCCATTGCTCAATCTGTAGATTTTAAGCAAACATGGAACACAGCTTCATCTGCTCTAATGCTGTCCAAGTATATGTGAACTCAGAGGGGAAAAAAGAAAAAAAAAAGAAAAAAAATTGAATGAAAAACACTGACACTTATTCACAGAAATGCAACTGTGGGAATCTTTGGCATTGCTGCTGACATTTCTGTAGGCAGATGTCTGTGTTGAAGAACTTGACTCTGCATGACCAGTCCCATATTCATTACAGCAGTGATCTTAGCCAGATACTGTGCAATCACAACAAATTTAATTTCTCTCCAATTTCTCGGACTCTTCTGCAAATTTAAGCTACACAGTTATACCCATTAGGCCACTGAGTCAAGATGCATCACAAAGAATGTAATTTATCAAGAGGATTGTGACACGCAGTGGAGACTTGGCTAAGAACCAAGGTGGAAGTGCTCCAGGGATGAAGTGAAAATGATGGAATGGCTATTTCCATTAGAGAAGACCAACATATCACAAATATTAATTGCAAAACACTATAAAGTACTCCAGAAAACTAAAAGAATATTGCTGCAGCAAAAAGACATCTTCACCTTTATTTGTTCATGCCAAGTCACTACTTTTTGCAGGGGAATGGAAGAAGGTCTTTCAAAAGCAACACTCCCTTAGTGCTTTCCCCCAATCAATTATTACCCAGACTGGTAGCTGCGCTCTTGTTTTTACCCCCCCGAGAAAAGCCTCACCCCGAGGACAGTGCTTCAATGTGTTCATCTTGTTACAGTATCATATCCAAAATACACAGCAGAAATCAGTGATGGTCAAGAATTGTCTGACTCATTTTTCAAAAAGGTAATCACAAAAGCCATTTTATCAAGAAGTTTTCGCAGAAAAGGCATTAATTTTGGCACAGTGGAAAACAATATAAAACATGGTCTTAAAAAGATTACCAAGTATAAGACCGAAAACAAAAGACGCTCTGCCCAGTACAATCAATAGCTCAGGACAGAGTAAGATTTGCAAGATTTAAGCTCAAATTTCTACTCTGTACGCGTGTGAGAGAAGTACTTTGGAAGGACTTTTTCAAGAAATGTGTTCTAATATCTGAACAAATTCCTGACTGTTGAGGCAGCTCAGGTAACTAAAAATCAACATTTTTACTGTAGCAGACTAAAAAAAAAAATATATATAATCTTAAAATATTTGCCTAGAGGATCTCTCCAACAAATATTTTTTCTTTATGGCTATTCTTCAAGGTAAATAAAAAAATACTATAGCATCATTTTATCAATATTTGCCTAGAGGATCTCTCCAATCAAATATTTTTTCTTTATAGCTATTCTTCAAAGTAAATAAAAAAATACTATAGCATCATTTTATTTTCCAGTCATGAAGAATGCTCACTGTGTTCCCATGTACAGAACTCAGACACACACAGCATGACCGAGGCCTCTCCAGTTCTTAATAGCAACATTAGGTGTTGTGATGCTAACTGTTTTGATCCAGCGGATAATAAAACATCTCAATTTCTATGACAGTGGTGGAAACAAAAGGAAAAACTTTCAGCAAAGCACTGGACAGACAGCACATCTCCATACACAGTCTCTCAATAACATACCGGAGGAGTCTCTAGGTTTTGATGTTGTACATCATGAACCCCTAAGTAACTTACAAGTAACACGAACATATGTTTGTAACTTACAAGATCAAAATCCTTAAAAGACATCTCCTAACTTTCTACCCTTTTTAATGGATGCTGGTTTTCTCCTCCTCTTTATGGTAACCAGAAGGCAGCAACTCTTCTCAAGAGTTTTCAATCCCACTGATCACATGCAAAGTTACAAATTCCAGACAGGCACAAAAAAAAACCACCTGCTTTAAAGTAACAGAAGCATTACCTGCTCTTAGCTGGGACTGGCTAAAAGCTGGTAATCGTAGCTTTTACTATATTGGCCAACAGTATTCTTTAGCTAGGCCTAAAGACACTGAGTCCTCAAACACATTTATACAGGATAAAAAAAGTTCTGCTTGCTTGCTGTCACTTTGTTTGTTTGTCTCCTTCATAAAACATCTATTAGAACAGCAGCCCCATTGTCTTAAGAGGTGAGGTGAAGCAAGCAGCTCTTTGTCAAAAGAGTATTGATATTTTTCCTTTTTTTTTTATCCCTACAACGTTTAGACATACTAAGCTTTAATTTGAAATATTTTTTGCTGACCAGAATAAGATGTGAAACACTTTGCACGAAGACTAACCTGTGATGATAAGACATTCATTGTGATCCAAGACTTCAGTGATGAGCCTCGATACAATCAGTTCTGGGTTGATTAAAAAACGAATTTCTTCTTGAACTAGTCCTGCCCCGGTCACGCCACCTCCAACAAAACGGTTTGCAAAATCAACCTAACAAAAATATATTCAGGAGGATTATGAGATATGCAAACAGCATAAAATCCTTTCATCTACCAAGGTAAATAAAGTCCTGTACAAATTTGTGTTGAAATTTGCCACTGTCACTTAAAAATACAAGCAGCAGAACAGAACCTGATTAACAGCATGCCTTTCTCTTTTTCTCCTTTCTACTTTTCAGAAAACTTAAAACTAGACAAGTGAGATATTACACAGTAAAATAAAGTTCTGTATCTCACGTGCTCTGAATCTAAGTTTTGCAGGTTTTTGTTGAAGAGCACATATTTAAGCATAAAACACATTTCAGTAAACGTGAAAGATGAAAACAGTAAATTACCACATTCTTTTTGCATTTTACGGACATTGAAGAATTATTAAGCTGTCCTTTAATAAGCATTCTGCCCCAGCTGTACACACTGAAGCATTTTTAGCTCAGCACTGCCCCTATACCAGTTGTTTTGTACCTAAAAGAATCTCTTAAGAATTCTCCTTGAAATGCACTTAAACAGAATCACAGAATATTAGGGATTGGAAGGGACCTCCCTGCCTGAGCAGGACCAGTCAGGCTGGTCAGTCATTTTGACCATTAAAGGTTTCTGCTTGAAACAGAGAAGCTCTGGACTCTAATTTTTGCTGCAATAATACATATTTTACAAATCACGCTTCTGTATAGACAACAGTTTTTAAATTAACTGGTATTCAGTAAAGTGATTACTATTTATGTAAATTAACTGCCTGTATGAATTTATTATTTTACAAAGTCACTTCATCTTTCCAATGTTATTAGCTTCTTACTGATTTTTATTTAGATAGCTGGTGAGAGCACATTTACAGGAGGGGAACAAAAGTTGCTAGAGCAACATGAACATCTGCATAGAACACAAACTGATTCAGGAGTCAGAGTCAAGGCTAAAGCACACAAAGCCAGCCACTACAACAGCAAGCGTTCCTGAAGCCTGTCCTGGACATACCAACGCACTTCAGTTGTTTAAGACTTGCTGAAACTTGACTGTGATGCAAAAAAGTAACATGAAAACCACTCAAATGTTCAGTGCATCATGGCCCCAAGTGCACTTTAACTGTGCTGAGCAGCCTCACCTTGACCCCCATCCTCACCCTCGGCACACGGGTCCAGTTCAAACACACTCCCTTGCTCTGGACCTTGCCTGAGACACATCACGTATGGGCCCATGCCCAGTCCTGTCCTCTGCTGATGCCTACTTGCTGACTGGACATCTAGGATTGACCTTGGTGATCCGACTCATCACCTTGCATTTGTCTGATAAGTTTGGCCTGTCAGCAGAAACTGTTACTGTCACCATCCGGCTCTGCTTGTCCCAGCCAGTGACCCCGCCAGCCTAGGCTGGGATCACTGTGGACTCCTGGATGGTCTTGTCTCTGTCATCTTGTTCCCTCCTGCAATGAGTGCTCTTTGTCTGAGCAGAGATATTTTCTTTGATAAGACTTGAAATAGCCAGGAGGAAAGATATCACTCCCTAGGCCACGCTCAATCTTACAGGGTGTAAGAGAAATTTAAACAGTACACGAAAAAGCTTAATTCAAGCGTCTTTTACCTCTGAGTTTATAGAATGGTTGAATAGGCACAGCAGAAAACTGAATATTGTTGAGCTGTTGCTGAGTTCATAATAACTTCAACACACACTTTGAGAGCTGAAGTTTCATACAGTCAAAAGACGTTTTAAAGTTTTAGGAAAAAGCATTGCAGAACACCAGACCAGTAACCCACCTGAGCTACAATCTCTACTAGATGCATCTGCTCTTTCCAGAGAAAGTCCTCTTCTTCCTTTGCACCAATTGCTCCTGGTTAAAGAAGTTCTAAATTTCTTTTGGTAACTGAACTCTAGAAGGCAAACTGTTGTGGTTTTGTTTTCGTTTTTGTTTTTTAAACAAAACACACAAAAAACCCCAATCTACTTTGAAAACTCAAATGTGTTCCTTGCTGCAGACATGGACAGGATATCCTTCTTATGAATCTCTTTAAGCTAACTGGCTCTGAGACTGAAACAGTGACGTTCACAGCAGCAAGAAAGTCTCTGAACTACTGACCTGGTCACTGTCTAGGGCATAAGAATAATTTTTTAAAAATAAACTGAAACCCTTGACAACTCATCAAGATCACAGTCTGAAACTCATCTTGTCAATCTTTGATCTTGGTTTGAACCAAAAGACCTGAAGCTGTCCATAGCTTGTGATTTTCTGTCAGCTCTTTTTGTAACAGGTACATGTGCAAATCTAGATGAGCTGGGGAATACTGACAGTACTAAGACTGCCCATGGAATTAATTTTGATGTTTCTTTTACACTGCATAACATCTTGCCATTTAAGTCAATTGAGGATAAACAAATAACTTTGTTAAGCTGGCACATCATGAAAGTATGACAAAAACATGACCTAAATCCACATTTACTGTTATATGCGCTTACCTGTAGCATACCTTGTCCACTGCTTTCAATTGTGCCTTCATAGGTGACATGCAATCTAGACAGTTTTTTCTGAGATCTATCATTGAGGAAAAATATTGTACAAAAAGGATGATTACAGAATCTCCACAGAGACATCCATTTTAAAAGAAAATCCATCCAAACTCAAACTTCTTATACACTTTATGTTAAAGTGGTTAAAAAAAACCCCTGATGTTTTAAAGAACATGCATGTGCCTTTCCGAAACAATTTGTAAAGGTTTAGCAGTTTCTTCACCTCTTTCACCATAAACCCCCAAATTTGAAATTGAAGTTCTATGTTTTTCACACAAGTTTGTCATGCATTAACTTGTCAACCAGCAAGAAAGCTGCAACACTTCTGTTTTCATTCTGATTACTACCCATACTTCATTATATTCCCTGTCATTTCTGAAATGAAGTCAGCTCTCTCTTCCCTGCGCCC